GTTTTGCTCAATGTTCATTTAGTTCAACTACTAATGTTGAATGAATTATTATAGATAAAGAAATTCCTAATTTAAGGAATTTAGATGTAGTAAAAATTTAAAATTTTTAATTATAATGTAACCTAAAGATATTGGACGATTGGTAAATATGATGTAACACAAAAACCAAAATGCTAAAGAAAGTTTAGTGTAGAACCATTTCGACTCCTTGAATAACAAGAGTCAGTTTCGCTGGCTCACTGCTTGCCTATTAACGGATGGGCAAGCTTAATTTTTAAATTAGAGCCTTAAGCCTCTTTTATAGGAGCCTCAAGGCTCCCATGCCACCTTTCCCACCGATGTGGGAAAAGTGACAAAATTAAAGGCACCCGAACGTTCGGCTTTCCATAAGTTTTATTTTTAAAATTTTTTTATATTTTATTTCTTTTATTAAATTATTATTATTTTTTATTTTTTAAAACAATTATTATTATTATTATTATTATTATTATTATTATTATTATTATTATTATTATTATTATTAAATATATGTATACCCTTAGGTCATTTTACATGTTAATCAAAACAGCTAATTTTTTTCAAATATTTTTTACCCACCGTTGATATAATTCGCTAATCAAATCCGCTAATATAATCTGCTAACGCTAACCGTTAACTGTTCATTTTCAAACAAGGACATTGCGAGGTAGTTTTCCCCTTCAATTTGTTGTGTGATTTGAATACTCTGTTTTTCAACAAATCACTCAAGTAGTTAATATGATTGGCTTTATTAATTATATTTTTTTTAATTTTTTCATGGTATTAATAAATACTTGGTAAATAAATATATAGCATTATTTTGTATTATAACTTTGATATTTAATTAAAAAATAGTGCACAAAAAAGATAATAGACAATGTAGTGAATATAATCATCAATTGATGAATTTGAATGTAAAGAATTTTTACATTGGAGAAAAATAAAGACAATATAACTAATGAAATTATTTCTCTTAATTAATTTATTGATAATAAATAATTTTTTTTGAATAAAGACATTGTAGGGACAATGTAGCGAATATAATCAATTGATGAATTTGAATGTAAAGAATTTTTATATCGGAGAAAAAATAAAGACAATGTAACTAATGGAATTATTTTTCTTATTTAATTTATTTATTGATAATAAATAATTTTTTTTTTGAATAAAGGCATTGCAGATTTGTTGACACATAATTCTAAATTAAAGAAATGCATATGTATTATTTTTTGTTGTAGCTACTAAATTATTATTTTTAATTTAATAAGAGTAAAATAGAGTACTAATTATGCTAACTTTGTCAATAAATCTCCCAAATAGTTAATATGATTGACTTAATTATATTTTTTATTTTAAAAAACAATTATTATTATTATTATTATTATTATTATTATTATTATTATTATTATTATTATTATTATTATTATTATTATTATTATTATTATTATTATTATTATTATTATTATTATTATATGTATACCCTTAGGTCATTTTACATGTTAATCTAAACAGCTAATTTTTTCAAATATCTTTTTACCAACCGTTGATATAATTCGCTGGTAAAATCCGCTAACGCTAACCGCTAACTGCTGATTGTCAGGACATTGCGAGATAATTTTCATTTCAATTTGTTGTGTGATTTGAATACTCTCCTGGTCAACAAATCCCTCAAGTAGTTAACATGATTGGCTTTATTAATTATATTTTTTAAAATTTTTTCATGGTATTAATAAAATACTTGGTAAATAAATATATATCATTATTTTGTATTATAACTTTGATATTTAATTTAAAAAACAGTGCACAAAAAAAAGATAATAGACCTAATTATGCCAACTTTTATTGGGATGGGGTGCGAACCTAAGACCTTTATTATTGAAATTAATGAGTAAGTTAACGGTGAATTAACAGAATTAATGAAAAAGATAATATTTAAAAGAAAAATTAACGGATAATCATATTCATTAAGGATAAATTAGGAAATCTTAAGGAAAAATTAACATCTGATCAATCTGAACATTCATTTGATTAAAAAATTCAACCTCCATTTTTTCTATCCATTATAGGCTTAACTCTCTTGGGCCGTTATTAGTATATATATATATATGTTTATTTTTCAAGAAAATGAACGAAACAGAAAAATGTAATTTCTTACCTAATTATTACTTAACTTAATGCATTACTTACCAAAATAATTTATTTAATTAAATACTATAATACATCAAATATATTTTACTATATATATGGAGTATTATTTACATATTTACCCAGACAAATATATATTTATTAAAAATAAGATAAAATATATACTCCCTCTGTCCCATTTTGCATGTCTTACTTTCCTTTTTAGTTTGTCCCAAAATGTTGTCCTCTTTCTAAAATTGAACATCACCATCATTCTACTTTTTCCCAAATTACCCTTATGACTTTTGCTTTTATTTCCAAAAGTGAAAAAGTGAAGGGCATAATTGGAAAATACATAGCATTTACTTTAATTCCTTAAAAAGCGTGCAAAAAGCAAATGAGACAACCAATTCGGGACGGAGGGAGTATGTAATAAAATAATAATTAATTTTAATTACTACTGACTCTATTACATTGTAATATCTGTTCAAACATACTTTTTCAACCTAATAAAGCATACAGAGTCAATAATGCCTTTACTGAGACATGACCTTCCACATGGGAAAGGTCACTACATGCCATCTGAGCACAAGGTATTTGGCATAATTAAATTTTTTTAATATAACGTAAAAACTAAGTTAATAATTATCAATTGGTTTGTGTTATTTATTTATTAATTTTGAATTATTTTAATATAATCTTAATCTTAATTTAATTTTAATATTAAACATTTAGGATTGGACACTTACTTTTACACATCGTGCATGAAAATACTAGCTACACTTAAAACAACCCCATTATGGTGATTTCAGAGGGTTTTTTTTTTTTTTTTTTTTTTTTTTTTTTTTACTTTGATGGAGAAGGGAGAAAAAAAATATAAAAACAACATTTTGTGATGCATCATGCACGGATTGAACACGCCAGCTAGGCGTGTTTAAATTCCTTTTTTTTTTTTTTTTTGCTTTGACAGATTTTGTTTGCATCCTTCTCTCTCACTCCGCTCTCTTTTATGTGGACGGATAAAAACTACGCCAAACATTTATTTGTTGGAGATGCTCTTATAAATAAGAGACTAAAGTATACCTCACAAATCTATCAAGGTTCCAACCATTGACCATTTGACTATGAGTTTTGGTCTCATCAAAACTTTTGCTAACTTATCATTTCAATTGATCATAATTTTGATTTTATTGTAAATTGAACATTCTGCTTGTTTAAAATGAAAAAAAAAAATCCAATCAACTAAAATAAAAATTGAGATTAACAATGTACTTAATTTAATGATAAGTAATACATGAAAAAGTAACTTTTTCGACCAATTTTTGAGAAAGTCATTCTTTTTTATGTAATCCGCTATCATCTAAGAGTTAATTTATCAAACACTTTCTACAATCAGCTAATGTTATCAACTTGTCAAACTCACTAACTCAACCAACTAACATCTATTTACCAAACACCTGTCTTTCTAGATAGTACTATCAAAGCGGCCCGGGGCGCCGGGCCGACCCATTAGGTCTGCCCCACTGCAAGCCTAATACCTGGGGGGGTTTTATGGGCTGGCCCGCCAAATCCGCGGGCTAAGGTTCATGCAACCCTAGCCCGCTCCACGCGGGTTGGAAATTCCAACGATGAAACCTAATTATCAGTAATTAAATTTGCAAATAAATAAAATATGTTACGTTATAAAGAATATAACATTCTTAATATATAGTTATGGATGGTGAATCTTACCATGTTACTTTTTCCATAAATAGGCCAAATTAATTATTGTTCTCGCACTTTTTGCATTTATATATAATGAGAAAATGCATAAGCATAACTGAACTAAAAACATGCAATGCATTAAAGATGAAATTCGAATATATATACTGGGAAACAGATCAAGATTAATTAAGAGTGTGCTTGCAGTAAAGAAATAAATTAAATTTTATGGATAATATTCCCAAAAAATATATATATAATAGAGTTTTTATTTTTTCTATTAAAAATAAGATTCATGAAGAATGTAACTTTTTGGCGTTAAATTCAATTCATTTATCAAGTAAGTTCACTTCAACTTTATAACGTCTAAAGAGACACATTGTATATATGCAATCCTGCTATTTTATTTAAAAGTGAATAAATAAATTCTACATTAGAGCACTATTAGCATATATTTATTGATTTTCCAATTTGATTCTCATAACTCGAAACAATAAGATAATATTATTTGTATCAAATTTACCATATCATTTAACTTTATCTTATTAATTTATAACTTAATATATAAATTCAAAATTTTAATAAATATAAATGGAAAATTCGATAATTTTATATTTACTTAATAACAGTATCACTGGTAATTTTATACTTAATAAATTATATTCTTTCCGTTTATAATTTTATATTAAAGACAAAATTTAAGGTACAATTTTTAATTTTTCTAGTGTATATAATATAACTATATATGAGTGGAAATTGTACGGAGTATTTATTTTAATGGAAGGTATTTAATTCCATTTTTAAAAAGGATTAAAAAAAAAAAACGTTAGAGAAAAAGGGGAAAAAAAAAAGAGGACAAAAAAGAAAGCATCCAGTAGCCGGTAAATGTATGGGGCTAGGTTAATAGGTGCCGCCTCCGATCCAAGTGGCGAGGTGGGAAGGAAAACCGGAAAAGTCGGTTTTCGGGAATGATTCATTGAACGAGATAAGAACGGCAGGAAACAGACCATGGTTTGTGCGTCTATGTTCTTGATGACATCTCACCAAATACATTTAACTCCATTGTTCCTACATACGCCGTTTTATATAATTCTGCTTTTTTTTTATATAATAATAACAAAATGTTAGTTCTGTGATTATATATACATACACGCATATAGATAGATACAACTGTAAGTGTGTATATAACACACTCCCCCTCCCTCCCTCCGCCTTCATTCTTCCTCCTCCTAACTGTAATTTGTACCTTCCCTCTCCAACTTGTTCCACTGCAAGTCGGGGTTTTATCTTGAAAAGGTGGGGCTTTGGAATGTGGAATGCCATTCTGGGCTGAAATTCATATCTGGGTTGCGCTCATCTTGTTGGGAAGTCTCTCCATTTTCGCTCTGATTTTTGGGTGGCCCTTTGTAGAAAAGCAGCCATCAGCCATGTCTACTCTTGTTAATCGCAGTGGTCAGTTCTTCTCTATCTCTCTCTTCTGGATTCAGTTTTCTGTTTTGGAGTTTTTTTTGAATTTATTCGTAAGTTTTGGGGTTGAACAAAAATTTAAACTTGGGTTTCTTGATTGCCACGCGATCAATATTCAATATTATGCAAACTTTTGGTGGGTAAAGGCCAAGTCCAGTGATTGAAGATGGCTAGACAGAGGTCGGTAAAGTAGTTAAAGGGTTAAGTCTAACATCTAGGGGTGATGTTAAATAAAGATGTGTGGCTTTAGAAAATACTATCTAACAAGTGGTATTAAAGACAGGTCTGAAAAACTGGAAAATGTGTAGTTAGAGAAAGAAGGCCATCTCTACTTTAAAGGTGTCTCTGGAAACCAGTTAATATGGTTTCCGTGGAGAACCAGATTTTGGTTCCCAAACCAACGAAGAAGATAGAGAACAAGGAAAATAGTTGCTTTGGGTCAAAAAAAGGACTTGTTTTCCTTTGATCGGAAATCAACCATCATCTTTTCTCCGATCCTTGTCAAACACTAGACTAGAATGAAAAATAATTTTTAAAAATCATTTTTGGGTTTCCAAACACATTCTAATTCTATTATGAACGGCACAGCAAAAAAAAAAAAAAAAAAAAAAAAAAAAAAAAAAAAAAAAATTCTTGAAAGCTTTTGGGTGTTGTAATTTATTTACTAGTCAACTTTAAGATATGTGTGTGATAAGTAGACAAAAGATGGTGATGGTAGTAACAAAAACTCTGGTTTTCAGGTGATGACGAGTTCTATTCTGGGAGTTCATTATGCTCAGCAGATTTTAGCCATTTCTTATCTCTTGGTTATGCGGATGTTTACTGCCCTCCAGGAAAGCGCCCGCGCCTTCCAAATCCACTTGTTGAAGAAAATTCAAAGAAAGCATCCATGGAAATGCTTCCAGATGAGTGCTTGTTTGAGATACTTAGACGCTTGGGCGGTGGCCGTGAAAGGAGTGCCGCCGCTGTTGTTTCAAAGCGCTGGCTCATGCTCCTCAGCAGTGTCCGCAGTTCAGAAATATGCGAGAGCAAGAGGCAGGCGATATGTTTGGATGGAGATTGCGAAATTGAGTGCGATGGGTACCTTACAAGGACTGTGGAAGGGAAAAGAGGGAGTGATGTTAGACTTGCTGCCATTGCAATTGGAACTTCGAGCCGTGGGGGGCTCGGGAAGCTTTCGGTCCGAGGGAGCAAGTCTATGTGTGGCATTACTAATGCTGGTTTATTGGCAATTGCTCGGGGTTGCCCTTCCCTCAGGGCCCTGTCACTGTGGGATGTGCCTTGTGTTGGAGATGAAGGCCTTATGGAGATTGCAAAGGAATGCCATTCATTGGAGAAGCTGGATCTTTGCCAGTGCCCTTGGATTTCGAGCAAGGGTCTTGTTGCGATTGCTGAAAGGTGTCCGAGTTTAACTTGGTTAACAATTGAGTCTTGCTCGAGTATAGGCAATGAGGGGCTCCAAGCCATTGGGAGACACTGTAGTTTGTTACAATCTGTGACTATTAAGGACTGCCCTCTTGTTGGAGACCAGGGTGTTGCAACTCTGCTGTCATCCACTTCTTCTGCCCCAACTAAAGTCAAACTTCATGGGTTAAAGATCACTGATTTCTCGCTAGCCGTTATAGGACATTATGGCAAGGCTATTACCTCTCTTGCTCTTAGTGCACTTCAGAATGTGAGCCAAAAGGGTTTTTGGGTGATGGGTAACGCTGGAGGTCTAAAGACTCTGGCTTCTTTGACAATCAGCTCTTGTAGGGGAACCACAGATGTGAGCCTTGAAGCTGTGGGAAAAGGTTGTCCAAATCTGAAACTTATGTGCCTTGCTAAGTGTTGCTTCGTGTCTGATCATGGACTGGTAGCTTTCAGCAAAGCTGCGGGAGGCCTCGAGAGTTTGCAGGTGGAAGAATGCAATAGGATCACCCAAATAGGGGTTGTGAATGCAATTTCAAATTGTGGCAAGTTAAGGTCTGTTTCTGTGGTGAAGTGTATGAATGTGATGGATCTAAACCCGGAAACTGAATTGCTGTCTCCATGTGAATCTCTGAGATCGTTGTCCATCCGAAACTGCCCGGGTTTTGGGTTGGCCATGGTGGGTAAGCTCTGCCCACAGCTATACCAATTGGATCTGAGTGGGCTTTGTGGGATAACAGATGCTCCTCTTCTCTCCCTCCTGGAGACCTCCAAGGCAGGCCTTGCCAAGGTCAACCTCAGTGGGTGCCTTAATTTGTCGGATGAAGTGGCGTTTGCCCTGGCCAGGTTGCACGGTCAGACGCTGGAAGTACTGAATCTGGACGGGTGCAGGAAGATGACTGATGCAAGCTTGGTGGCAGTGGCGAACAGTTGCACCTTCCTTAACGATCTCGATGTTTCAAAATGCTCAATAACTGATTCTGGTGTGGCTGCATTGTCCCGGGGTGTGCAGATAAACTTGCAGATTCTTTCCCTATCGGGTTGCTCCATGGTGTCGAGCAAGAGCGTTCCTTCCCTTGGAGAATTGGGAAAGAATCTGCTCGGTTTGAATCTCCAGCAATGCAATGGCATGAGCAGCAGCGCCATTGAACTACTTGTAGAGCACTTGTGGAGGTGTGATATCCTCTCCTAACGCGTCCAACTTTTTTGCAGGCTAGCTTATAAAAAGGCCTGTTGGTTGCCATGACCGATAACCACCTTCTTCAGATTGTTTTTGTTTTTGTTTTTGTTTTTCTGAGTCTTAGTACCCAAAAGGCCAGGTCCCTTGTTTCTTGTACTGTACCGGGCATCAACAAAGTTATAATACTGTTTGTATATAAATCTTTGTCATCAGCTAATAAAAAAACACAGTCTTGGTAATTGTCTATTTCTCTCCAAAGTTTTTTCAAGATTATTGAAACAGAAACAAATCATGTCTTCTTTAGGGTATGATGTGTGTGAAATGGATTCCATCCTCTACAGATACCAAGATCTGAGAAAAGAGGATGTCTCATGTCTGCAAATTCAATGAATTGAAGAAACTTTGGCATGATTTTAGTGATTTGTTTGAACCATATTCCTGGTAGTGAATCTCCCAGTCTGGGCTCAGCTTTCTTGGAAGTCAAAAGATAAGGTGTGTGTGTGTGTGTGTGTATCTTCAGTGCTGCTTTTGCAGAAAACTTGAAAAGAAGCTGCTTTCCTGCTCATTGTGCCCTTTTTCTTTATTGAAATTAATCACAAGTGTAATTCATAATTTCATTATAAATCTCAATCCCCAACAATGAATTGCTACGCATCCTTAATCTTGTGTATTCAAATATAGGCCCTGTTTGGTAAAATAGTTAGCATATCAGTCATTTTTAGTTTATTTGACCACTATTAGCTATTTGATTTCGTTAAATAATCAATATGAGTGTTTGATTAATTAGCTTTTTGTAACAACTTATGCTAAACTTTAAAAATATGCTCAAAGTAGCTTTTTTGATCAACTTTTTGAAAAGCTATATTGGATAGCGCTTCGGAAATAAGCTAATAGCCTTTTTTTTTTTTTTTTTTTCTATCTTTATCCTTATTATTTTAAATAAATAATATAATTTACCCCTTCCAATTAAAACCCTATTGACCTTTCTCTTCTCCTATATTTTTATTTATCATCTTCCGCAACTCTTCACCGCCTAGCAATTCTATTGAGATGAAGGAGATTCGCAACGATATTGCTACTTCATTATGTGATGCTAGATCATGATTACGCTAATAGTTTCATTTCAAAATGTTAAATTTTAATATGTAAACAAACATATTTAAATTTAAAACTATTTAAATTTTATGAAGATGTCATTTTTAGTGTTTTTACATTTATCAGCTTATTAAAAAATTAATTTTACCAAACATTTTAAAGCATAATTAGCTAATTCAACAGCTCTTCAGTTTTCCGCTTCAAGTTTATAACTTTCAGTTAGGTTTGCCAAATATAGCCGTAATCAGCTAACAGCTAATTTAGCAAACACTTTTCTACAATTAGCTAATGCTATCAACTAGTAAAACCTACTAACCCAATCAGCTAACAGCCATTTACCAAACACCTCCATATTGTTATAGTATCATATTCACCACATTGTATGTTCAATTAATTTTTAAGTAAAAAATTAATGTTAAATACGATAATAATATAGAGGTTTTTCGCATGATACAGGTGGTCACCGGCCCCTAATAATACAAACGCTCAATGAAATTGAACAAAAGAAATGATATCTCTTTCCAAACGAAATTATATATATATATATATATATATATATATATATATATATTAATGCAAACTCATATCTCTTTCCAAAATGAGACAAATGCTACTTAAAAAGTTTTCCCAATTCAATTGGGTACATTTAATTTGATTTATCCATTATTCATTTTGAATGTATAATATATATCGAATTCATCCTTTCACTTACAAGAACCCAAATTATCCACTTTGACTCAAGCCAACGGAATTAGACCTCACTAAAAGGGAAAAATGTCAAATAGGCCATTGAACTTTATCTAAAAAGTTAATTATTAGGTCCTTAAATTTTTTAAAGTTGTAATTAAACACATCAACATCTCATTTTGGTGTAATGAAGCCCAAAACGGATTAGTGACTAGCTATCACAAGTCAGGGTTCTGGTCAACAGTCTGGCCAACTCCAACGACATTTCGGCTAACTCCGATGACATTTCTGGCAACCAATCGATCGGCAACGTTAGTCATCTTTGAATCAACGAGAAGGCAACCCAGTGGTTTCCTTCTGCTGGAGAAGGCGATAACTAGGTTGCCTTCTCCGGTGAGTTGCCTTCTCCGTTGATGGGTACGGTTTAATTGCAACTTTAAAAAGTGTAGAGAGTTAATTGATTTTTTACAAAATTTTAAGTAAAGTTCAGAAGGTTTATTTCACCATTTTTCCCTCACTAAAATTATACCACAAAATAGTGAATTTAAGTCAAATTTTCCACTTCTCAAAAAAAAAAAAAAAAAGTCAAATTTTCCAACACCAATTACTCAAGAATTGGGGTAAAGGTAAAAACAATCTTGCCTCAGCAATAGATAGTGGTAAAAGAGAAAGAGATGAGAAGAAAAGGGCAGTAAAAGAAAGAAGGAAGAGATGAAAGAGTGAATTACAGTAAAGTGGAAGGGTGGTTTTAGCAGTGCAGCTTCTATATATGTGCAAAAATGTGTATAGTGTCAAAGCGATGAGACAAAATTAAGCACTATTCCTAAAAAACTGTTTGCATTGGTAAAGGCAAATGGAAGTATGCAATATTTTTGTACCATTTCTCTTGTAGCCAGTTGTTAAAGATGACCTCCCCCTTACTCTCTTTAGTTAACTGTCATGTCCTTGTATGCCCAAACCATGGCAAAGATAAAGATAACATCAATCGCAGCAAGAATCCAACTGCCACTCGACAATTCCTCACCATCATATTCTCATAACCCCTAATAATATAGTACACATTTAAGTCTTTCTATCCCAGCCTTATCGGGATTGTTATTGCTTCAATATGTGTAACGTGTTAATTAGGTCACTTTCATATTTAATCAGTAAATATTAATTGTATTGCATTTGGTATGTAATTTATTTTTGTTGCAATGGGTCTTTTCAACTAAATTTTTAGTAGAAGATAGCTGGAATATAATGTATCTCATTTTTAGTTCGAAATCATACATTTTTTTTTTCTAAAAATCTCAAGGCGGGTATTCAAGCATGTATGATTCTAAAGTAAAAAGCTTATAGTGCATCCAAATGTGTAGAGTACCGGATCTACCAAAATATATTAAAGATCAAAGAATTGTATTTTGTATTTTTAGGATAATGTTCATTAACTTTATGTCAACTTAGACAAATATTGGTATATTATTGTGATAAATGTCATTCACAAGTAGTTCATCAACTATGACTTTTTTATTGCCAAGAATTATTTTCCATTAATACGATATATAAAGTATAGTACAATTAGTTTAATTAACATATGTAATAAGAAGAGAAATTAACTATTACCCCTAAAAAAGTGGTTAAATGGATAGAATATATATAATTTTTATATATGAAATATGGGTGTCTTCCATCCGCTTATAAAGTAAAATTGTAGCAGTATGGGGATTATAATGTTCAAAGTGAACAGATTTTTTGTGCGCACATTTGACTCTGTCTGCTGAATTATTGAGTCACAGTAATTTACAACCTCTCAAATATTCTGTTGAGTCGGATGTGCGGAGTCCTTAAAGTTTGGGATGGGGGGAGAAAAGTAAAACTGTAAACAAACAAAAGTATTGTGAAATGGTAAAAGATTTGGCAGTAACATTATTAATTTATTTTCCATTTTTTTTTTGGGTACATCAATATTAAGTGGAAAAAACCAATTCCTCCCCCTAGTTACCTAAAAACCTTAGCTAGCTAGGGATGTTCCAGAGGTTGTCTTTTAATAATTTAGAGTGTCCATAGCTTCACTGATATAGCTTGCCAAATCCATTCTTACTACAGAGGGCGAGACATTACATTCGCTCTCCCAACCACAAACTAACACTCTCAACAACCAAGACGACACCAGCTACCTAAGCTAAGAGGAGGACGACAAGGTTGCAGATCAGATAATCTTTTATGGCTTCGCAGAATGTGTACCACATTGGGTTGAAGCTTCTTCTCACTCTGCTGCTCTTCTATTCCCTCGCCCTGCTCTCTCCCATTTCAGGTAAACACTTAATACACAAGCTATATATATAGCCAGCTAGCTTAGCTGGGTACGTAGATGGGAATAAGTGTTTTGGATCCATGGGTTAGGCGGAGGCCGATAAAAGGTCAAGTCTAACACCCGGTGGCTGGGGAATTGTTGGGCGGAGGTCGAAAGGGTTTAGGGCCAAGTCCAGCATCCAGGTCAGTGTTGATCTAAAAAAATGTGATGACCATCTATAAAGAAATAAAGTTGTGTTTGATACTAGTTATAACTTTTGACATAAGAGGTAAGCGCTTGATCCTAACACCATGTTTGGTGTCAGAAATTAAAGTTGAGTTGCTTTGTTGAATATAGGAATAGGAATAGGAAGAGGGAAGCAAGTGAGAATGGTGTTGGGGTCAAGCCCACCAAAGTGTGTGGGGAGATGCATGGGTTGCAGGCCTTGTGTTGCTGCTTTGGTCATTCCTCCACATGACGACAAGTATGGGTTCAGAAGACCTTCATCTTCTTCAGCTTCATCTTCATCTGGTGCAGGAGATGAGAGCTACTATCTCCTCTCATGGAAGTGTAGATGTGGGAACAAATACTTCCAACCTTAGTAGCTCAATAATGGCCTCGGTTTCTCAATTCTGTAATTTATTTTATAATATATCTTAAGATATGCATAATTTTCAGGTGGTATTGTTACTACTCCCTCCAAGTTTATTGTAAGCTTGTCGATTTGTGTACTAGTAATTAGTAAATAATGGGTAATTTTTACAATATTGTTTTACATGGTCATGTCTTGTGGTGTTTGTTGGAATTTTTAGCTTTAAAATGGCATGGAAGTAGTTATTTTGTGGTACAAATATATGTGGGGTTCACTTTCCATTTGGGTTGGGTCAAAGTACGTGGATTTGCATTTTTCATAGTGAGAAGAAATCGATATATTGTATACTTAAAACGGATAATAGGCGAATGAGAAATTGATTTTATGGTAAAGAATTAAGGTGAGAATAAGGTAGGAATTCAAATTTACTATTTAGTAGGCATGAATAAAACTACTAAAAATTTCAATTGTAGTGTTTGATATATATATATATATATATATATATATATATATATATATATTGATAGGGAATATATTAAATAGTATAAATACCAAAATGTCACTATAATTGTAATTCCTGGGGTGGAATTTGCAATTCCTCAAGTTTGAGGAATTATATTGTAATTCCACATATTGAGTAATATGTTTAAAATATTATCTCTTTTAATGTGTTGCATTGTTGTCCAATCTTTTTCTTCCAATTCTAAGAAAGAGAAATCCTGAAAAATTCGCACCGTAAGAAGAGAAGAGCCCGCGGACAAACTCTAGTAGCACCCTTTCCTTTTTGTTTGAATAACCCAATTTCACTTGATGAGTCCGTCCAAAGCGAGTTACTCTGAAAGAGCTTTTGCAGTTATTAGAACAGCTGATTTCATGGTCGATTCAATTGAAGTTATGTTTTTTCAATTTTAAATTATGAAAAAAAACATTAGATAAAAGTGTTTTTTTTTTCTTTTTATCATTAGGAGGGGTACACCCTAAAAATTAAAGAGAATCATCATTTTGAATCAACCTCTCCGGGAGGGGGGGGGGGGGGGGGTGTCAAAGACCCTTTATCCTAATTAGTTGAGGAAGCATTTTTAGTCATTGCATCAACAATTTGATTTTACTCCCTGTAGATATGATTCACCCGAATAGTTCATTAATTCTGCATTAGCTTGCAGCATTTTAACACAAGTTTGTGACTTGGTCCCTTGATGACCCCCATATCGGCTTATTTATTCATTTAACCTTCAAAAGTGTTATCTTTAATTCCTCACTTGCACCAAACATTTTCAACTAACGCTATTTTTTTTTTTTAGAAGAAAAGATGATATATATTAAGTAGCATCAAAGTCCAAAATAGGAACAAGAGAAGGAAACGGGACAAAAGAGCAGTCCACATGGCCAGACTTAGACAAGGCATCCCGAGCTAGAAAATGTGCGACCTTGTTCGCGGACCGTTTAACAAACATAAAGCTGAGATTAGAAAAATCCCTAGCTAGTTTCCTAATATCATTAATAATAATATCAAAGGAAGACATGAGATCCGAATGGTGAACCGCGTTGGCAACCTTTAGCGAATCAGTCTCCACCTAAATAAAGTCTTCATTGCATTCCTTCATCTATTTCAAAGCTTCACGTACCCCCATTGCCTCTGCCTCGTCCGGTTTGAACACACCTTGCCAAGGGATCTCTCTAGCAGCAATAAACGAACCATCAGAATCCCTTAGAACAAGCTTGAACCCCATTCTCTATTATTGACATCCAAAGCAGCATCTACATTGACCTTCTTCCATCCCCTAGGAAGGGTCTTCCATCTAGGTAATTGTTGAACCATATTAACAAACTGCCTTCCTCCGAATTAGCAGATTGCCATTCGTGAAGGAAAGTTTGAGCCTCTCTTAGAACTGCATAGTCAGGAACAACAATTTGATTCCACACTCTATCATTTCTTGCTTCCCACACTTTCCAACATACAGTGATGAACAAGCACAGATCATTATCAGCTATGGAATTAAAATTGACCTCTAACCATTCAAGAAGAGACAGACAACCATGGTAGATCACTCCTCCCATGTTATCCCAACAACGAGTGGCCAGACTGCATCTTGAAAATAAGTGACAGGCTTATTCGTCCTCTGCATTACAAAGTTGACAAAGTGATGGAACCTGAACTCTTTTAAGTCTTAAAAGATTAGAGGTAGGTAAAGTTGTAGAGCAGAGTTGCCAGAAGAAAGCTTTAATTCTTTGGGGCAAATTTAGTTTCCACATTTTTGTCCAAAAGGGTATCGGAATAGAATGCATATCTTCTTGAAACAACTTCGAATAGAGTAAGTACCTTTATCCTCTTCCATCCAGATAATATTGTCCTGGGTTTTCTTGTAAGCAATAGGCACACTCCTAATCAGCTGTACATCCTCAGGCAGGAACAAATCATGCAAAACTTCATCATCCCAGTCTGTTTTGGTCATGTTGAGCAAAGACTCCACATTAGCATCCCTTAGGTAATCTACCATAGGAGTTTGAATGAATGGGTAATTAGAATTTTGATGTGAGCTTAATTGTACATGTTTCTCGTGCTAATTTGAATTTACTTTTGAGTGTTAAGTTCGTTGAATTGATACTTTCAGTGCTTATTCCCTTGTTTTTTCATTAAGTTATTGTTTTATACTTGTTTTGAATGTTTTACAGTGTTTGTTAGTTCTTTGGAACCATTGTAGATCAAATGCAAAAGCAAGGGAAGTTCTAAGACAAGTTTGGAGTCAAAATAGACTGATTGGTGATGTTATAGAAGATTCGACGCGTCGAGAATCGGACTTGATGCGTCGAAACATTCCAACACCCTGTTTGAGAAGTCTAGTCGAGGACTCGGCGCGTGGAGATGTTCCAGCATGCGGTCCGAAGAAACAAGGCCTAACTCGACACGTCGAGACGTCGAACTGGCTGGGCAAGAATCTAATCTGTTTTGCACGGAAATTTCCTATTTTGCCCCGCTTGGCTCTCGCTATAAAAAGCCCATCTTCCCTCAACCCTAGGGCATCAAGCTGCGTTTTGGAGACAAGAAAAGAAGATATCAAGAGCTACAAGTTGCTTTGGGAAGAAAGAAGAAAAACTAGGAAGATTTGGGAAAATCTTTTGGTTTATTCTTTTACTCTCTTTGTTACTTGTAAACTCTCTTACATTATTGCAATGAATTCTATATTAGCCATGAATGGCTAAGTTATATTAGATATTTTTGGGTAAAAGTGTTTATGAACCTATTTGCATAGTTCTCAGATTTCTTTAATAATATTCATATTTGAGTTTTATAACTTGTGTTGCAATTATGTTTTGCATTGTTGATGCTAGTAGTTAATGGCCATAATTACTCGTTCCATAGCTATCTTTATGTCGTAACGGGAGTTAGGATATAATTCGGAGCGCACATAATTGCACTTAACTGTTTCACCTTGAGAGAGGACATATTTGTTATGGAGTTAATTCTTAATTATTGCACATCGGGGGATGGTATTAGTTAGAAATTTACATTGAATGTTTGTTCTTACATTGTTGGGTGTTTATATCACGGGAGTGAATATTCACTTGTATTGTTTTAGGATGGAGATTACGGGAGTAACTATTTCCCTTGTTTGCATCTTCACACTTGTTGAGACCCAAATTTAATATTGCACTTTAGACTTTAGATTGGCACTAGGTGATTAAACACTTGAATCCCAGGAATCTCACTCTGTCTCTATTGTTTTCACAAACCTGCTACTTTGCTCTTTAGATTAGCTTTATAATTAATCAACCATCCATGATTTCGTTAAGATTAGTTTCACAAGAATAAATTAGTAACTAGTGTGATGAACAATATTTTTATTATTATTTTTAATAAACTTTGTTAGAATTAGTAAGATAATATTTATTTAATTTTGTATTTTCTCTTATTTTAATAAGTTTTGTTAAATTAAAGCTTGTGCTTTTTATTTGTATTATTATTATTATATTAATAAGTTAGTTTAGTAGTGATTTAGTAAAATAAGTGAGCCAAAGAGCTGTCAACAACCGCACCTGGCGACAAATAAGGGAAGAAGAACGCGAAAGAGGGAGACCGCTTCCGACTCAGCGATCGGTCGTCCTATTCGATTGCGTAAATCCGTCTGATCAGCGATAGCTCGGAGAAGCAGTTGGGAGCTGACACACTATAAAAAGAGGCCAGTGTTCATCGATTCAATATCACTGATTCTCGGCGAACAGTAGTCTGTTCGGCGGTGCTGTCCATTGGCGATCTTCCTTCGGCGGGATCGCAATTTTGGAGGACTAATTTGGGAGTTTGGTCGTCTTCATACAGACTTCAATTTGGTGGAACTTGGGAGCATTAATCCGGCAGCAAACTTTTTAGCACTCTGGTTCTTTTCCCTTTTAAACTTAATTCTTTAATTTGCCTTGTTTTGCACTTCCTAAATTTCTGAATTGTAAGCATCTTAATCCGTGGTTCTCCTCTCTATTTTTGCAAATTGCAGCAGCTTACCATTTCTGTTTCTTTTTCTTTAATTCACATGCTATTGGTTGATTGTTAATTGCTCAAGTTCAATTCTAATTTATGCTTTGTGAAAATAGTGCTACGGACGTAACTACATAGCTTGTTAACCTGCTTAATGCTTAAGTACAAAGTTTAATCACTTTGCATATTTAATTTCAATGCTTAATCGCATTGCTTAATTGTAGTGTTAAATGACGAGTTCTAGTTTATTTGGCTTTATCATAATTCATTATTAAATTGTTTAGTTTTTCTTTCTCTTTAATTCGTAGTTCTTTTTGCACTAGTTTGTCAATTTCCAAATTGTGAGTACTAGTTTTAATACTGCATTTTCCAATTCTTAGCTTTTGAAGCATTGATTTTAATTGTCTTGCACTTGAATTGATTCCTACGATTGATTTTGTTTGTTTGTTTTTTTTTTTTTTAATTATCAAGTTAATTAATTTCCAGATTATAAATCTCATTTTTCTTGGGTTCAACTCTTACTATTGCACCCTATTACTACAGTGATTCGTGCACTTGCGAGGACTATTAAAATTATCCATCATAGTGCTTGATACGTCCCGCTTCCCTCGAGATCGATAACCCAATGCTCCTGGTAATTATTTGTTTGAGAAATATATTGTAATCAAATTGGCGCCGTTG